TCGTCGAATTCGATGAGCATTGCCTCGTGGAAGTTATACATCGCAATAGCAGCCCGAGATAAAAGTATTTGTCGCGGCTCTCGTGAGTTACGTGGCCTCACCTGAGAGCAAACACATTTGCATGCGAAATCGCGACGTCGCTAATTTAAGCGCGCTTGAGAGAGAGAGAGAGAGAGGGGGGGGGGAGAGGGAGAGATTCAGTATCTTTGATTCTCAACTAGAAACTCAGCTTGAAATACATTTAACTTGCCGGCAGGAATATTCCGCGAGGAAAATTATGACTGGCAAATTTACTACTTAAACGTTCGAAATTTATACTTTCCTCGCTGTAGAAGAGATTAAATCGTACATGAACGTTGCGACGTGTAAAAGAAATCCGTTGTATTTATAGTCGCGAGACGGAGTCTTGCGACACTTCGTATCTCCGTTGTTTCTTATTTCAATTACCACGAATGATTTATCGCCCCAGTGCACGTTCATTTAGAGCTGCGAAGCCATTGTGATTATTGCGCTATCGCGCGTTGTTCGAACGAAGAAACAAAACTCTGGAGCGAAATGAAATTCGACTCTATTTCTTCCGAGCGCTATCGGAGATACCCGATTGCGGGCGAACGCCCGGAACGAAAGAAAAAAAGGTGACTCCGTTTTGTCGAACGGCCTCGGGCTCGTTCACATGTACCTTTATCTCGCTCGAACGAGACATAAGTAGATATCCTTATCGCAAAGTGTAGGATACAAGCTGGTTGTTCGAGAAAAGTATCAACCGCTGACGTCACTCTGTCCATAAAGGTGTTTCTGGCCGGAGAGAGATAAATGTCTTCGAATCGCGCATTCAAATTATGCAATTGTCATAACCGCGAGAGAGAAAGCAACGGCGGGGGACGCGCGCCACCGCGAAGATGGATACTTGTACACGAAGACAGATACCTGCAGGGAAGAGGAAAAAACTGTCTGAGGACAAAAAAACAATATCTCTCTCTCTCTCTTTGGAGATGCAGAAATCGGTAATTCAAGACAGCGAGAAAAGGAGAGAAATAGCTCATCGTATTTAATACTCGGCAAACGTTCTCGGCGTAGCCACATGTGCAAACACGTATTATAACAGTCGTATATCACACGCGCATGTCGGGAGGAGCCGCGGCTCGTAGATACGCGCAGTTCCTCGAGCTGTGAACTTATTATTCCACGCCCGGATTTTCACCGGAGAAAATCCCTTTGCGCGATCCGCGGTGATGATCTTCCGAAGCGCTCCCTGTGCTCCCCGAGCGGAGCTCGCGACGTTCGGCGAGGCGAGGACGACACCCGGATGGAAGCGTGGCGACAAGGACAGGCAGTTCTTTCGGGAGCGAACGACATCACTCGCGTGCTCGTCCCATCGCTCTTTTCTCTCTCGCCCCCCCCCCTCTCTCTCTCTCACTCTCTCTCTCTCGGACGTGAGAGAAGTCAATTGGCTTCTGCCCTTCTTCGGAGACCCTTTCGTTTCCTCCGCGCGGCGGAGGCGGCCGCTTAATCGCTCGGCGCACAGTGGCCGCTCTGTCTGCTTCGCGACGAAACCCAGGGACAACGTTTAAACGCTCGATACATCACGGTCGTGCGCTCCTCTTACCGCGCCGTTAAATCGGCCGCAGACGCCATTGGGATCGCAGGATGTCGATGGACTTTGGAATAGGGCCTTCGTATAAAATCGTTTCGCTGTAACTCTCCCAGCTTTCTCGGCTTCTTCAGATTTTCTCATTGATCGTTACTCGCGTCTGACTTTTTAGCTCTTCAGCGATGCTCATGACTGATCGTTCGCGATGTTGAAATATTTTCTCGATATCAATGCTCGATAATCGATGACCGTTGTCCAATATTGTGTTGAAGAAACACGGTTGAGAGAAACTGAGAGAAATCTAGCTATTAATATATATTTGATATACGTAGTTGTTAGAAAAAATTAAAATTAAACTGTTAGTCTGCCCTTACTTTAAATTACAACAGTCGTATATCACACACGCACGCCGAGAGGAACGTGGCTCGTAAATACGCGCGGTTCCACGAGCCCGTGAACCGCTTCGACATAAATTCAGATACTTGCAAACTAAAAACTTTTCAAATCATCTTTCGACTTGGAAAGTAATCTCGATGCTCTGCATTCAGACAATTGTAACGATCCGTTGCGAGCGTTGGTCGTGTTACGTTGAAAAGTGAATTTCCACGCACGGCGCTCTCGGGACCGCTTTCGCGGGAAAAATCCCGGTTACCCGCGACTGCTCCGCAAGCTCATCCGCGGCGCGTCTCCTCTCGCGGTTTTACGCGAGACCGGCGTAAATTGCGGCGGACGCACCGGCGCGCGTCGCGCCGCCCATTGACTTTTGATTCACTAGGTATGTGGGTCGGAGTGCCGAGTGCCGCTCTCATTGCCAGAGTGGGTCGTCGGTAGCGATGGGCCTGAGACCCACGCGTACACGGGCATCGACGCTCAAGTGTCAGCGAGCGCCGAAAGGCGCGCGGAAAGACCGGCTGTGGCAAAACGTAACTAAAATTAAAATGTTGCCGTATAAATAGCAGCATCTACATTGTTTCGCGTTGCAACATTCGCTAAGTTGGCTTATCATACACTGAGAAAAATTTTGCGGGTGGGTGCAGTGGGTGCATCTATAATTGTACGTATTGGTTTTCTTTTTTCAGGTTTTCATTAGTTACAAATTTTTTTATTAAAATTGAGACACGATCGAAAAAAATGAGGCCTGTTGCAAGCGGAAAGTGCTGGTGTCAAACATGACATCAGCAGCTTCGATAGCGCCAATCACCGTGGTATTATTGTAGCTTCGAGGTTTAAACTGGTTTAAACCGTGCGGCGCGGCACGGCTGTCCGCCTCCTTTTATCGGCGCGAGCGATATTTCGAAAGATTCGCGAAATCCAGCCGCCGAGGAGCGGGAAATGAGAGAAAGTGAGCGCGAATCGCGCGAGACGCGAACGCCGTCTCGCAACGCTTTAAGAAAATCCCGATATCCGTTGCCAACGCGACGGAGCGTGTGAAAAAAATAGTCATTTTCGGTTCCGAGCAGTCGGCCACACTTTTATAAACCTTTAACTTTCTGTACAAGACTCGATCCATTCTATAGGAAACCTAACGAGATTAGATAAGGTGTAAAAAGAAACCGAGAATTACAGTTCAATAGCTGTCCTGTGGATTTCGAACTTTCGTCTATTCATCCATTGGCAGTTTTCTCTTATAGAGATCTCATTACGCTCGTTAATGTCACAAGATGAAATAAATGCGCCGAGCCGATACATTATTACGCGTCGCCTCGTATATTTTATTACGTCGTCGATTATCATTGAAACTCGTTCCAGCAGGTTTAACGATTTATTTAGTTCTAAGTTAAAGCGTCTGGGTTCGCTGAACTAGCGTTGTACATAAATCAGTGATGAAAAATCGACCGGTCGAGACACAACCGGCCAGTATATTTTCGGCTCAAGATCGAGCTGTCGATTCGGCAGTCAAAAATATGGCGCCAATTAAGCGCGTTCGCGTTGACCGACCACTTTTTCACGCCTCGCGATGTATCGCGACGTGGGGAGCAAGCGCGAACGCATATCAGGATTAAAGAACAGGAAAAAAAAGCTAGAAACTCGCGCACGAGGGAAATTCTCAATTGACCGCCATGCGCCAGTGGCGTTCACCTCGGAATAAAAATTGACAGACACGGAAATAGCTCCGATACTGCACCAGATACATATTATCGAGGTCAACCGGAGAATGCGCGTGGCATAAAGTAAGGAGTGCTAAGTGGACGTTGAAAGACGTAACCGTGTGTGCGTCGCGTCATTAAAATTTTTACTTAAGGACGTTCATCGGCTGTAATCGTAGCCGAAACTTTTCGCCCACGTTCGATTTTCTTTCCGTATAGCGCGACCGTAGACATAGTAAATATAGACTGAGCGTCCCATTGAATAAGCTGAAGCTTGTGAAGAGAGAGAGACAAAGAAGAGTTAATTTTTTAAAAACTTTAAATTATTCAGAAAAACACGTGAAACGATGTAGAAAATCCTGGTAAATCGTAAAATTTCCTGACTTTCCCCTGACATTTCCAGATTTCTAAAATTCCCTGACAATTCCCGGTTTTCCAGATTTCCCCGACCACTGGACACCCTGACAACGTTGCCTTTGTGAATGTAATGGCCGACACGCTTCGAAATATCGTCAGATGGAGAATTTCGAATTACAATTACGCATAAACGGTACGGCTACGCATCCCCATCTTGTAATATATCATTTCTAATATCATTATGCACCATAGGTTAGTTTTTTAGCCAAATACATAAACAATTTCTGTCACAATAAATTAAAATATCCCTATAGAACACGTTTCGCGTATACTATACGAGTAACTTTGACTACTGAATATCTTGACTTTGGTACGGACACGATTTTTAAAATTGAGCAGGCATTTGGATAACATGATTAATAGCATGTGGTCGAAATTTGAAGCAAATACACAGAAAATCGATTTACCGACGAACGTCCTTAAGAGAAAAAGAAATGAAAGAACACGGGAGAACGGAACCGGCAAGGCGGAAATGAGCGGACGATCGTGCAGAAGTGTGTGCCACGCGGTTTTCGCGAGAATTCACCTGCTGTTACGTAAAACCACCGGGGCGCCGTGTATCTCCGCCGGCCATCAAGATCGCGGTCGGGACGCTCGTCGCGGCGATCTCGGCGACGTCCCCGCGGCGAGCCGAGCAGAACCGGGATAGCCGGAGATAATACCCGGAGATACATCCTTAATACCATTCTCGTAGCCGCGCGTGGCATCGAGAAATCTTGGGGAAAGGAGCCGCCGGCGCAGCCCGGGTCGTCGAACCCCGTTCGCGAGAACTAGCGACGAACGGACGCATCTCGGCGCGCGGCGTCTTTTTCCCCCGGTCTCTCCCTCCCTCTCCGCCTTTCTCGGCTTTTTACAACGCACGGACGCACATGCGAGATGGCGAGAAAGCACGCTTGAGGACTCACTTTAGCCGCTGATCCCCCGGCCTCGTCGCCTTGTCTCCCTGGACGGCTCTCCTCGCCGGTCTTCTCGCGCTGAAGAGCGACGCGACCGCGTCCTTTTTCCGCCCCGCGCTCGGCGCTGCTCTGGGCGCCGGTGCCGCAGGCTCGGCCGGCTTCGCCCTGAAATCCACATTAATTGGCCGCGGATTAGAACTGGGGGATTGATATGATTTTTCTTAATTAACGGAGGCAATGACCGCGCCGCGGTTAATTGGCCGAATCGCCAATTAATCTCTCTCTCTCTCTCTCTCGAGCAGTCACGAAGACGGACGGACGTAGTCTCCGAGGCGTCGCATTAATATCGATATTAATCCCTTAAAGATCAGAAACGTTCGTGCGGCCTATTTGTAGACGCCGATCGTGCTTAAACATATTTTTAATTTGTTGAATAAGAGAAGAAGTATTCTTTTTATGACTATTGATTCCGAGTTACATGCCCGTATCGTGTCGCGCGACTCCCGGCACATTGATCCTCCTTGACGAACGAGAATAGCTCTCGGCCAAACGAAACCGGGATCGACGATGTTAATTTATATACGTTTGCGCCGGCGGGAATGTACTTAAGTCAAAAGAGTAACGCGCTGCGAATATATTCTGCATTCCCGCGGACAATTTCTAGACCGTGTCGATTTCGCGCGCGGCCATGTATTCGCGCCCACAACGGCGAGAGGAGCGCGCGACGCGAAGACAATCGACGTGCAGGCCGCAATTTTCGTTGCACAATAAAAATCGGAGGCGGTGAACGATCCGTCCGCCCGCGCGCGATAATAATCGCTCTAACGCGATGCAGGAAAGACGCTGACTCTCCTCTCTCTCTCTCTCTCCCTCTCCCCTCTTCTCGTTGCGCAAAGAATCGATAGAATTAGTTACGTAATGCCGCGCGTTTATTAACGCAACGCGATAGCGCAGAGGAGTGCGTGTATGGTATAGATGATTAACCGGGAGGATTGCGTAACGTTTGTGCGTGAACGCCGTTAACGCCCCCCCCCCTAGCCCCGCGGGAAGACAATCGGGAAGGACGGGGGCGGTCGGTTTCGCGCACCGACGCTAATTTCGTTATCACGCGTTACGACGGCGAAGCTCGTAATCGAGAGAACAACGTCACCGGGAAAGCCGACTAATGACACGGCGGCGAAGGCTTTGCGCTAATAAGCCGCTTAATTTCCTAACTATCTTCTACTATTCTAGCCTGACGAAATATTTCAACTGACAAACGATTAGAGGGACGGTCATAAAGACGGGAAACGAAATTTAACTTACGTAATAATGAAAGAATGTAATAAAACATGAAAAAATACATGTTCGACGATCTTTTATCGATCAGAAATATTTCGTCGACGTGTTCGCATGACGTAAAATCACAGACATCTTACGGCGACTGTCACGATATTCTCAAAATTAATATCTGCCGATATTTTCGATGCTTGAACGCGACGTGCTCCTCGCAGCGCTATCGTCGAGAGCCCGGGACGAAATCGCGCATTTGAAAAGGACGAGGGGAAGGGTTCGAGACACCCGAGAACTCGATTCGACGAGTTTAGCGTATCGACGGGTTCCAGCAGCGTGTATCGGCCACTTGATGAGGTCAGTCCGATCGCTGAACGCTCTGGTCAATGCCCCCTCGTCGGATCCGCCTGTTGCGAACCAACGAACGAACGACCGAATCGGACGATCGATCGCTCGATCGCTCGACGGACCCGGCGAACGGGCTGATTTCGTTTCAGGCAGCGTTACACCTGGTTAACAACGCTCACCCGGCATTACGTAAATTATGACCGATTTGTCGTGCCGCCGATAGACTCGAGCACGGGGCACAAGCCGCACTCTGCGCCGAGAAGTCTAATGATACGTCTGTCCTTGCGTCCGTCTCTTCTCGAGAAGGTACAGAAGAGAAAAAGAGATCAAAATGGTTTCGCAAATATAAAAAAGGTGCAAATTGGAAATTTGCACATTGCTTCCTCATCATGTGGCCCAGTTTTTTTTAATTTAAAGGTGCAAATTGGAAATTTGGCAGGATCAACATTGTGGCAAATTGTCCATTCAAATTTGGCTTCCTCATAGTTCTGAGATTTCTCTGAGAGTTCTCTGCGAGTTCTCATGCGCAGGGAACTCACAAAATTCGCAGCGAGAGTTCTGTGAGAGAAATTGATTCTATCAATCGCCGAGACAGTAACGCGGTGTCGACTGTCAATTAAATTACTACGAGAGAAACTTTCGGATTAACGCCGCGATCGATTATTCCGTATAAATCCCGATGTACCAGGGATAAGCTCGGGCGTGTAGCCGGGATTATCAGACGTTATGTAAATTGCAAGAAAACGAGACTGAGTCACCGTCGCGAAAAGACGCTTACACGGGCGTTTTTCCAGGACGGACATCGCGGGCAGAGGAGCGAGTCTCCCGGAGGAGACGGCCGGACCGGCTCGCGATAATAACACCGGTCCACAGCACGTGCGTCGGCCGGGGCCCGTTTATCTCCGTTACGCGGCGCGGCGCGGCTTCTCGTCCACGAGAATTGGATTTTCCGAGCGATAAAACGCGAAACGTGAATTTACGATCGCGTCCGGTAATTCTATCTGCGAGAGCGGATCTCGCGCTAATCGTAGCCAGGGGAGATTGCGACACACCTTGCGCCTCTACCTATTATTAATCCAGGAAAGTTACACGGGTACCACGCGAAGGAGGCTACGCATAAGCGGGGAGATTCGTCTGTGTTGCGTATATACTCCGCTGCGAGGAGATCTCGGTGGCTCTTTACGAAAACGGAAATTAATAGCGCAACTACTTGACGATCTCGTTATTGTAAGAGAGAATATCTCTCCGATGCGCTGTAAAGCGAAATTGTTTCTGGTTAATTTTCGATACAAATTCTCTCTTAAAAGAGTTCCGTAGTAATTTATTTCGGAGCAAGCAGTAGTAACGTGAATAAAAATGATATATTTCACAAAAAAAAATGCAAAAGAGAAGCTACAGGGGACACCCGGGTTTGAACCGGGGACCTCTCGATCTGCAGTCGAATGCTCTACCACTGAGCTATATCCCCGACGATACTTGTCCACCGTTCGAACATGTTTCCTTGACTGAACGAGTACGTTGAGATCCCGCTTTAATGAACGTTTATGTAACAAAATGCATGTTGAAACACGACTAAACGTCCAACGTACGTACTAAATACCGAAAGCAACTTAACAGTTGAAATATCTTCAATTTTAACATATTTTCCATTTACTTTGTAAAGTTTCGCGCTTTATTTTTCATTTTGATGCTTCCAGCATTTGCTGTTTATTTATTAAAAAAAAGATTCTATTATCTCGACCCAAGTGAAAGAAATTATTTCGCGGTTAGATGCAATTTTCCGACGCATTAAACGGCATAAAGCGGCGAATAGTTTTTTGAACCGCGATAGAATTCCCAGAAGTGAAGACGGGGAGTCGTTTGTAACGGCAGGTGGATAACGGACTTCCCGGAAAAATAATGGGACCGGTTTTCCGATCCGTGACGGACAAGGGAATCCGTCTTACTATGCCGCGTCTGTCACCGGTTAAGCCCGTATCAGACTACGGATTGAGATTGAGATTAGGGGATTAGGTTGAAATTTGGCCAATCACAGTAAAGTTTGCCAATCTCAAGTTTAGTAACTTTTACTCTAATTGGTCAAATTTCAATATAATCTCAATCCGTAGTTCTGATACGGGCTTTACGGTAGCGCCTTTATTACGCTACGAAACTGCATACCGTCGTCCTCTACGGCGCGCCTCGCTCACTACGGAGAATCGCTCGCGAGTAACGCTCGGTCGATAATACGGTAATTTATGAAAGCGTGTATTTTTTTTAAATATACACGTATCTCTTATAAATTGTACTTTAATTAGTAATCACCGTTCTTGTAAAGTAAGACATCTTGAAAATTGTTCTTATTGTATTTAGATTTTTAACCTACTCTTTTGAGTAGAATAATGGGATTTTTAAGAGAAAATTCTCTTCTTGTATGTGTTTCAGTTCGTTAGTGTTTCGTACACATTAATAAATATTCTGCGTATGCAGTTTGTGTATAATAAATTAATTGTAACATGTAAAATATTTCTTTGAAGTTGTATCAACGAATCCTGGATAAGGCCGCGCGAGTTTCCGCAGACGAATCTCACTCGCGGGTTCGTCAAGCAAATCTAGTGGGAATTTATCGCCGTCCGTAATAGCAATTAAGATATGCATGCACTCACTGGCTTCTGCTGGACTTCCTGGGCGGTTGTATATTTTGCGTGGTCCGCTTAAACGGCGCCCGGCCGCCCGAACCCACGGACATCCCGCTTCGAGCCTGAAACGAACGATACTTTTTAATGAGTATCCCCGCGTCAACTCGCAAATATTTTTACGTAATCATAAACAACTCGCAATTATCTTGGGACTTAACGATAATTGAAGTTAAAGCCTGGGAGTTGCGCGACAGTTGTACGTTAACACAGGACACGAGTAAAGATTTAACGCCTAATTTTAAGCATCGACGGCGACTTACGGTAATTGCTCTTAAAGAAAAACAAAATATCTGTCCTACTTAAGGGGATGCTGGAGTGGTTTGATTTAGCGACAGAGTCGCGTACAGTTTTTGCGTTTGTAAATCTTATTATTGGCATTTATGTACAAAATAATACCAGACCGGATTGTGGACTGCATAGTAGAACATTTTCATATAAAAAACATTGAGGTTTGAAGTCTAATTCGTATCGCATTATGTATTTGAAATTTTGAAATACACAATGCGATACGAATTAGATTTCAAACCTCCAAGTTTTTTATATGAAAATGTTTTACTACGCCGTCCACAATCCGGTCGATAAATCAAACCTCTCCAGCATCCCCTTAATACTAACAACCAGAAAAATACGTAGCGCTGTCACACAGAGAACGTATACAAGACGTAATGAGCAAAATAAAAATTCCTTCGCAAAAGATCTTACATTAATTGTCAAAAGCCGGGAAAATACTCAAGGTATCAAAAAAAAAATCTAACAATTCTACGATCAGTTTCCTACCAAGACTGCCCGATAAGCAAGCGATTAAAAAACGTGTCGCTCGCAGATAACGCAATCTGCGGCGATAAGGTCTCGCGACCGCGAGAGAATCACCTCCGGTAGAAATAAACAATCGGGAAAGGGGGCGGCGCGATGGGGCGAAAATGCGTTGGAACGTGCGCCGTTCCACTCTGTTTCACGTGCGGTAAAGAGCCGGCAATTAAATCGCGAGGTAAGCCGTTGAAGCCGTGTCGTATCGCGCCGGGATTATCGGGATGCCGGGATTTAATTAAAAAGAAAAAAAGAAAAAAAGCCGGGACGCTATCGCCGGTCCAGATCGAACTCGCGCCCGACTTGCCGGGGCCCCCTTTCGGCCGGGGCCCGTCACGATAATCCACAGCTCGCGCGCACGTGCGACACGCACGTAATTATCCCGGGTCGCGCATTAAAAACAAATAATTATCGGTGGCCGCGCCGGCTAACGTTTCCGTGACGCTCTGATTCGGCCGTGATTTATGCGTAACAGCTGGATAAGTAAACGGACGCCCGTAAACGCGGGCAATTACACGCTGGGCGGCGACAGATCTCGGATCGCCTCGGAAACGCGTAGCATCGATCAACGTTATTATTGATCGTTTTATTACCGCCGCGCCTTAATAACTGTGACACAGTCGCGGCCTTCCTGTACGACGACACGAGACATAAATCAAAGAAAATATTGTTCACGCGCGCGCGCGCGCGGAATTGAAATCGCATAATTTTGTTTATCGCGCTTACGTGTAATTAATATGTTTGGGTAAATTGCCTTAATGATCGAGAAACTACCGGTTACTTTGTAACGAGAAAGTTCGTGTCGTGATTTACGAAGCTTAATTTGAGCAATTATGTGTGTGTTCTTAGTTTTACAATCAACTTTTACCTCGTATACTTTGATTTGTAACGTGACTTCTTGAGGAAAGGGGGGGGGGGGAGAGTCGGTCAAGATTTCTCGTTTCTACAATTTTATCATAATAAAATTTTTAATCGATTGTATTAATCGCAATAGAACTTTTATGGGCAAAAGTGGATTATCACGCCGGAGATATCGGTTGGCATTTCCAGCCGAGCAGAGAACGAGAAGTATCCTCAGTCTACGATGTTTATTTAGAAATTCATGCGGTGTCATATTTTCCAGAAATTAAATTGCATATCCGATAAAAAATATGATCGGTTTTTCAATCAAATTTTATCGGATAAATTTCATCGGATGTATCCATAATTTCATTGGAAAACGTAATCGGAAAAATTAACCATCGGAAACACTAATAGGTTTATCCGATGAAAAATTTTCTCAGTGTAATATCGATACTTGACTAATTGTAGATCATATGAAGCAAGTCCTGCAATAACAGGTAAAGGTTGAAAGTTGTCCAGGTTAACACGAACGAAGCGACATATAACAAATTACGAGTGATAAACTGCGAATCACGAATAGTGTGGTAAGTAACAACGAATGGCCAACGAATCGCGCAGTGTGGCGCTAGCTTTATGGCTTATCGATCGTGGATCATTCAATGGACGCGGCCGTGAGTTATCGTTGTCTTATCTGTTATAGTTTTATATATATTGTATATCACATCACGAATAAGGTGCGTTTTCTAAACCACAGGCTTAATATTTTCAAGAATAATCGAATATATTTCCGAAAGGTATTTCCTACGCGAGAGACGACGAGGATCGTAGCACAACCGAGATACGCGAATGCAGCTGATATGCGAATGCGGGAGATATTACCGAATTCCCGCCCAGCACATCGAGAAACTGCCGGATCATCTTGAGCAGCAGATAAAATCCCGCATTGAATCACCGTCCTGCCACGCACGACTCACGTTACACGCGCGAGGGGACGCCGGGTCTCGGCGCCCGCAAAATCGTCGCCGAGAGATTCACGCCTCCGCGAGATCCAACGCTCCTGCTCGGAGGACGCTACTTCGGTCCCCGCGGGATCGTCTTCGCTCTAAGCTTAGCGAGGAAAAACGTCGACGAATCTACACGCGCGAACTGTTATCGGCGCGCGACTTAGCGATTTCCGCAGACTGCCCGAGAATCGCGCGTCCGATCCGACGGAACGGACTCGCGAAACCCCGACGATTTCGAGCTCGACGAGAGCGGGAGATCGGCGAGATGTTATTTCGTGCAGGCGGGGATCGACGCCGCGACACTCGAGGGAAGCGCGGCCGAAGACTGGTGGAATTCGAACCGGCAAGATAAGAATTAAGTTGCCAGCGATAAGCTAGAGAATATCTAGAGGTAGGCGCCTGTATAGGTGTGCGTTCGCGCGGCTACACCTTCACGAACGCAGAGCCGAGGCCTGATACAAACTTGTATCCGACGAACAATCTCGGCCGTCCACTACGTTGCCCGCAAATTTCATAGTTTCGTTATTATATTTTTACTAATAATCGTCTCTCCCCTCTCTCGCGGTTTTATTAATGCAGGTACGCGATTTAATCGAAGCCGTCCCGAGGCCCGCCGGAATGCCGGCTTTATCTCTGACACCTCGAAACCCTTTCTGATCCCGATCTCCGATCGGCGCCGCCGCGCGGATCTCGCCGGCGTTATCGCCGCCGCGCCGCGAAAACACGGCGGATCGTGCGCGGCAGGATTTTGAACCGTCGCGGACACCACGCAGCACACCGTGCAGGCGACTTCGATCGGAAGGCTATACGTCCGTATACGTGCGTACCTTGCGAAGGTTCATCGAACCTCGGGCGCACGTATACCGGGCTCTCTCGACCAATAATAAAGATGCACGCCCGGTACGTAACTACGCTCTGTACATACGTACCTAAGTACTACCCTGCACGGTACCCGCGCTCTCTCTCTCTCGTCCTCTCTCCTCTCTTTCTCTTTCTTTCGCCGCGGATACTCGAAGCGTATACTGGGTGTCCCGAGTCTACCGCGTCTTCGCTCCAACGAGTAGGAGGGAAAAACTGACGTGTTAATGAAACCTGATGAAAAACTGATCGAGTAAATTAACTTCGATCAATTGCTATCTCTCGAAATCTTTCATTTGTCCGCCGAAATAATCCGCGTGGCCGCGGGATGCAGATCGAGTCGTCGCGAGGCGAACTCCGACAGCTCGGAATTTCTCTGGCTCCTCGAATCGCTACATTCTCGGCACGACTTTTCGAATCGTTCCCGCATCATTCCCGTTACATTCTCGGATCATGGATTCTAGGTTGCGCAACGTCCCCGTGACTGTGTTACGTCCCGCGAGTCACCGATCGCGAACGGCAAGTATCACCGGGGATCTCTCGTGTCCCCGGAATATCGATCTTATCGGCCAACCCCCGTCATCCTCTCGGATTTCCGAAGATCGGTTTCTGTAATAAATACGCGACGAGATGTCCGCTCCGTGGCATCTTGAGAGAACACGTGTTGAGAACGTTCAACATATCTCCGTCGATCTCTCTTGACATAATTGCCGACACCTTGAACCGTCGCAACATATTTCGAATTATTCAAAGGCACTTAAATTCAAACGCAATACTGCCGTCCTAACTTAAAATGCAGTATTTCCATTTTTGGCTATTGTAGTTAAGTCACTTTCTATTTCTCAGAAATTATTGCTAAAATTTATCATCATATGCCTACACGGAGAGACCGATATGGTTGGCACAACCCCAATAAATAGTAATATTTGGGACAACTATATCTGTGTGGTTGTCATACCTATAAGTAGTTGAGACAACCACATGCGCCTTGTGCAGCAAACTTGGTAAACGTTGCAACACAAAACAATGTAGATGCCCCTACTATTTATACGGCAACATTTTAATTTTAGTTATTTTTGCCCTAGCCGATTTTTCAGTGTATGTTATAGCTGCCAGTTAAGATTCTGCTCCGCCATTCTTCCGAGTTACACGGAAACAAGACTCTTTACAACATGAGTGGACCACCTTCGCGGTCCCCTAGAATTTTCCTCCGGGAAAATTTACGCGCACACCCCGTATACGCGATCGCGCGTGCACGTCTGCCTATTTAGCGGCGACTGCGTCGCATGTTTCTCTCGTGCGCGGGAATTGGAATTCCTGCGGGACGGATCATTGGCTCCCGATGATCCATTCCCGCGATCGCGATAAAAATCCGACGGCGAGACGCGGTAAGCGCGAAAGTGTACGAGGGATATATCGGTTTTGCGCGATGCGCCGCGGCACGATAACGGGACGATCGCCGGGTATTTTCGCGTTTGCCGATATTTACGACGTAACACACACGCTTACGGTCGTCCGCTGTTATACACCGAGACGTCTAAATTATTCTA